GTGTGTGTGTGTGTGTGTGTGTGTGTGTGTGTGTGTGTGTGTGTAAAAAAACACAAAAAAAAATCAGCGCATCACCAATTTGCGCACCGCAGAAGTGCACCGCTAGTATGCTATTTCTTGTTTAGTGCGCACTTGAAACTCGCAAGTATGTTATTTCTTGTTTAGTGTGCACTTGAAACTAAAGTATTTTCAAGTGGTGTCGAACGAGGCTCTTAGACCGGTAGGAATAGTAGAGCTCCCCACTTTTTCCAGCAGGCAATCCTGGTCAAGGACTGGTCAAGCCGTGTACATGGAATCATCAATCGAGCAAGTGTAAATTAATCACTAGTTCTCGTTTAGTGTGCACTTGAAACTCAAGTATTTTCAAGTGGTGTCGAACGAGGTTCTAAGACTGGTAGGAATAGTAGAGCTCCCTACTAGTGAGTAGGTAGGGAGTCACCACCTGTCCAGTCCTAGTCCAGTTGCAGCTCAGTCCCAGGGAAGGCCCACAGCAGACTGAATCTCTGTCCACTGCAGCGGCCCCAGCAAGAGAGAGTCGGGACTCACATGTGACGCGGCAGGCAGATGCACAAAGGAGGGCCAGCGCCAGGATCTGCCTCTTCGTCAATTCTGGCTTATGGAGAAGTGCTGCCAAGATCGTTGGGGGAAAAAAAAGGGAAGTGAGAAAAGAGGCCCTTTTCTTCGATAATGGCTTAGATAGAAAGCCCCCCTGCATGCCGCAGCGGTGCACAGAGGCCCTCAGAGGCACAGTCTGCGGAAGAGAGTGGTCTCATTTCATCCCAGCCAGCATGACTAGAAAACACTTCTGCGATCAAAGATTCCCTTAAACTATGACATCCTATATTATATGTCGAGTGTGGATGACCTACAGCGTCCTGAACTGTGTCAAATCTTGGCATACTCAGCCATGCTACACATGTACCACGATGCTGCTGCACAGGACCAGAATCTGTGGACTTAAGCATCCTGCACAAACGCCCAGCGTGCCATTACAAGAAGCCACACCATTACAAATAGCCATGAACTTGCTCGTACGCATGCCAAGGAGCGTAAGCCACAGCATGCCAGGCTAGAAAGAAATACACACATGCCAATCACACTCTTAAGCCTGCAAGTACTCCCCCACAGCAATGCTCTGTCCTTCACCAACAAGGACTACCACAGAAGGTCCCACTTTACCAACAGGGCAGGGAATTCACCCAGGGATAAAAAGGGATTAAGAAATAACAACGGCAGAAAGTTCTGAGAACTGCATCCTGCAGCATTCTCTTGTGGGCACACCCTTGATCCTGCTGGCACTGGTAAACTGCAGGCACATGGTCGGGTTCTGCCAACAATAACTCGCAACAGCTAGGAGCAAATCAGTGGTCTCGTTTACCCCGCTTAAGCTATACTGTCTATGCAGGATACCATGACTGAGGGGAAATATGAGCAGAAATGCACTGTGAATGAGATGCTGGACCTGCTTTCCAGCACAAGCCTCAGCTGGGTAATGGCCCCAGTCATCCGGGCTGAGATGTGGAGGGATTCCCGACCTGTGCAAAAGAAATTATTGAGTCATAGGCTCGGGCTTCAACCGTGTCTCCCAAAATAAATCAGTACATATGGCATAAAACGATTTCACGGATCAAGGTCAGAATGGGATCGGGTGTTTTCAGGAGTACCCGGATACTCGGAATTGTGCTTCGTGCCTTTGGTAACTAGTCTGATTAGATCGACATTCAATAAGATCTGGGTATGTATATTGAAATGGAGTCAATCCAGCCGCGGGTTTCCCTACGGCTATTTGTATTAACATCAATGCATTTTACTGTTAAAAAAAAAAAACCATCGGAAGAGATGTCCATGATTGCCAGCAGAGCCTGCAAACGGCTAGCCATACCCGGGCCCAGCTGCCCTCAGCCAGACCCGACAGCTGCAGGCAGGTCTGGCTAACCCACGTCCCACGTGACCAGGTGTGGGCAGGCGATGGGAGGATGGCCGGGGGCAGGGCTGGGGGCTATGGTGGTGAAAACAACCGGACCTCTTCCCAAACCGCACATGCAATTTTCATTGCAAGCGGCTTTCCTCATGTATAGTTTTATTTTATTCATGCTCATGAAATAGAATAATGAATTGGCCTTCCGTGAAAGAAAGGGGAAAAAAAAACACGCAGGTGTGCGCAGGTCTAGACTTGGCACAGGTCACCCGCCAAAAAGATATGCATATATACATGTAGGGGCCTACACCTACGCATATATGTCTCTAGGGGTACCGGCCCCTATTTTCCATGATTACGACCTCAATATGATTTGAATTTTGTCTTTAATTATCTCATTACTTTTTTTTTTCACCCTCTCATGTGTGGCATGTGCAGCTGTTTTGAGACTTGTCATACACAAACTTGCTTGTTCTCGAGTTCCAATGGTCGACCAAGGCTTCTATATTGCCGGGGTCACCAATTGGATAGGTGGGAATCGTCCGGTCGGTGTGGGTGGGTAGGGTGTTGAAAACTTGGAAAAGCAATGGCAGGTGCAGCTGGTGAAAAAAATGCCAGCTACGGGTGAGTGCGGGTGGGATTATGCTTCAGGGTCTGGGAAGGGGCAGGTGATGAAAAATGTCTGGGTCTAGACAGGTCCTGGCTGCAATTCTTCTTCAAGGTCTGGGCTCAGGTGGGCCCAGGTTTGTACACTTGGAGCAGGCCCAGCTGCAGGTTGTCGAGGATTTTTAAACCGCAGTCATGGCAGGCTGTGGCTGCCAAATATTATGGATGTTCAATATGGGTCGGGTGTGGCTGTAGGAGAAGTAGGAGTTTGCGAGCTCTGATTGCCAGCCAGCCACAGAAACAATTCTCAATCTGAGTGCCTACAGCATTACACGGGCATTGGTTGGTTGAATCAAGCCCAAAGTCACTCTCAATTTTACCAAAATACCATCGGGCTACAGACCAATCAGGTGAGCAAAAACAGTGAGCAAAAGAACGGTAAGGGGCTAGGCAGGACACACACACACACACATACACACACACACACACACTGCCCCTGCCTCCCTATAGAACTCCGACTCCCACCCCTGTCCTTTCTCCCTTCCCTTACGTGCTACCAGTAAATGCAAACGAACGAGCGTGGTTAAGAGAACAGATAAATATAAACTGAAGATCTGAAGTAAAATGAACAGGAGTATACCTCCCCCATTAGTCTGCCTCCTTTCATAACATGCAAGTGTGCCGTTAAGGCACGCGGGCATCTGAGGCAGCCGGCCCTCGACCACGACCAGCGTGGCCAGCCTTGTGCGTGAGAGGCACAGTAAAAGGGGAGCTGCAAGAGCAAATGAAACGGGTACCCCAAAGAAATCCGAAGCAACTAGGTTAAGAAAGGGATTTAAACGGATCTTTTGTACTCCATGTTACTTCCTATAGAGGTAAAACTGTTTCATTGTTTGATTGTCTCAACAAGTGTTTTCGTTGTCTGCAATGGTCCTAAAGCTTCTTCGGTTTTGGATCCTCTCATCCGCGTGGAATAGGGGCAGTTGTGGTGAAAATCCAAAACACACAATAAAGAAAATGAAAGCTCTCTGACCTCTGCTTTCTGCTGTGACAGCTCCTCCATCAGCTCTTGGTTCTTTGAAGCGCTCTCCGCCAATAGCGCCTCCAATTTCCTCCGCTCATCATCTGCTGCAACCCAAGCTTGCTGGCTTGCCTCCAGCTCACACATCAGCCCCATCACCTGAGTGTGCAAGTCCGTTGACCAAATACAAGCATGATGATTAGCATCTAGAGCAAAAGCAGGAAGTGAAATAGTGAAATAAGAGGTCCACCCCGCGAGCAAAAAAAAAAAAAAAAACAGAAAAAAAAAAAAAAGAATGAGAGCATTCCACATTAAAAAAAAAAGTCCACCAAGGGCACCAGACGTTTTGGTGCATAACGCCTGACTGGTCGGTTTTATTGCACTGTGACCTCATACCTGTGCTCATGACAGTTCGATAGAAACCATTAAAGTTTTTCATATAAAAGAATATCCACATCAGGTTACACGCCCTGGGTCAACCTACTGCATTAGACATTTATGCTTCTCGTCCTGGGGCCTCGAGGGGGGTGCCCGTATTCTACTAAAAAGGTGTGACCAGGACAGTCCACCTGGCAACTTCAGGGAAAGTTCTCCATTCCGTGATTCCTTTTTTTATTTTTATTTAACACAACAAATTGAACAAATTATAGAAGCCAGCACGGCTACACCCGCAACAACAGAACAAACAAACGAAGGATAGTGATTGCAAGATGTTGGGACAATGTTTACTAAACATAAAACGAAACCCAAAAACAAAGCCTGAATATGTAACATTTTGCTCATCAAGCAGCGACCATGTCTGCAAGCTTTAGTCCTCAAGCACTTGTACATCCCTCCTCCCCCCCCCACACACACATCTCTCTCTCTCTCTCTCTCTCTCTCTCTCTCTCTCTCTCTCTCTCTCTCTCTCTCTCTCTCTCTCTCTCTCTCTCTCTCTCTCTCTTCTAGTTGGCAGTCGAGTAAGCACTCAAACACCATTCTATGGCTACGCTCATCACCAAATTTTTCCCAGCTCGCCTCCCTTCCAGGTTCCTGACATTGCGGCAAGGGTGATAAAAGGGATGGATCATTCAAGAATCAGGAGGATGAGAACCGCAGCCATATTCACAAAAGACGGGAGAACCCCCTCCCCCACCCATTTGCCCTCTTCTCAGTCACCTCCTCCTCACATGCCCCACCCCAACCATTTTCGCTCTTCTCCTTCTCCTTCCATGCCCCACCCCAATCCCCTCCATCCATCCACTCCATCCCATCAACTCCCTCCCCCCCACCATTTTCCGTCCTTCCCTTGCAGCGGTCAATATACTTGTTCTTAATCAAGTATCTTCTTTTCGAAGCTCTCAGTGGGGAATCACGCCCAACTCACCTGTGCATTCTTCTGCTCAGCCTCTTGTGTCACTTCCGCTTGTCGTCTGAGAGCAGATCTCAAAAGCATCTGCTGAACACAGCTCTCCTCCTCCAGCTCAGCAGTCCGTTGAGTGCACTGCAGTAGAAGCCAAGAGAGAAGTCTCCATATCAACTCAAGAAATCGAAACCCAGATATCAAACACCTCGCCCCAATACCCTAAAGATAGCAGGGGGCATGGATATAAATCACAAATCACCCATGGGATAGAGAGATGGTTGGTGAGAGACATTACCTGTGTCATCTGGTACATTGCAGCATCTAACACCACCTGCATGGCAATCGCCTCCATCTTCCTCATCATCATCCAATGACTGCATTTCTTCTGTTCATGGCCATCCTCCATCCCATCACCAGATCCTCCACAAACAGGGCACAGCCGGGAAGGATCCAACGATTTCTCCCCACCCTGCGAGAGAACTCCTTCACAGCTCGATTCTGCACCCTCTGTTGTCTCCCCATCCTCCTGATCCTCAGAGAGAGACACATGTCCACTTGTCTCATCCGCACTATCCTCATCTCGCTTTTTCCGGTCATGCTCACATCCCTTTACGTCCTTCCTGGTTTTCACAGCAGCCCGATCAACGGACCTGTCATCCACACTAACGGGTTCCCTGCAATCTCTATTTGCAGCATCTGGTTGAACTCCACAGGACTCCACTTCACCACCACTGGATGTCGTGGACTTGCCTTTTGCGCCTTGTTGGTCTGGCTTGACCTTGGAACCATTCGCTGAGCCATAACCCCGATCTCCGAACTCCACATCACAAAACGTCAAGACATCTGGAAAGAACCCTGCACAAGACAGCTAGCACGTAAGTGATATGCGTGATATGCTCTCTCTCTCTCTCTCTCTCTCTCTCTCTCTCTCTCTCTCTCTCTCTCTCTCTCT